AAAAAAAAGTATTAATAAAGTTTTGATTCACTTTAATTGTAGTTTGATTACAATTTAATAACTAACTCTCATAAAAGTCTCTGTTCAATAGTGGAATTAAATTTTTTTTTTTTTTCGAAAATACTTATGGAAAACAACATTGAAAAAATTCATATGCACATGTAATGTTCTTAAAAATAACTTAATTTTTTTTGCGTTATCTAACATTTTTTATATTTTTCCAAAACCTTTTTATATCGGTACATGATGGAAGTTACAGGTGCGAATGTCGTCGCGGAAAAAATCTATCTAATATCAAGAACTTGTATTAAGCAAACTAAGATCTTACATTGCTATCACCTTTTTTGTAAGGAATAACTGTTGTGGTAGGACAAATTTTTAAAAATATTGATACTTGATTAACTAGAAAAAATAAACTGAAAAAAATGTAAGTATGATGGAAATACAATTTACTATGTTAGTAAAAATTAAAAGTTAATGAAAATTAGATAGCATAATAGGTAAAGTACTTAGTAACTGAGGCTATTGCAATTCAAGCTTGGCATATTAATTTTAAACGAAAGTTAAAGGGGGTGTAAGGCAAACACGTTCTTCATTATTCATACTCTTATTCTGTTATGATGTTGTTTTCACAATCTATTTCACGTGTGGTTGCATGTTATTAATTTTAAAATAGAAAACTGTTTGTTTGAACGTTGTTTATGTTTTCGATTTTATCAAAGTAGTACTTGTTACATTTATTAAGCTAAAAAGTATGTTTTCGGTTTAAACTGTTTATATTTTTGTTTTAGTTTATCTGTACGTGTATAGGTAACACGTAAAAAAGTTAATAGTCAGTTTTACAGTTAAAAGGATCTTAATAGCCGTATGTAATACTACCCTATACTGATTGTAGTGCTTTTACTGAAGTTAAAAAAATGTATATAATTTCGAGATTCTAAACTTATTTTCCAAAAAAATCTCAATTCAAATAGCGATGTAGTATAGGTAAAAGTATTAATGTTCAACATTACATGGATGAGTTGGTGCATGATATCGATTCATATTGATTATACTCATAATTCTTAGTTTACATCCTTGAAAAAAAATTTCTGTCATGTAAAATGCGAACTGTATTTATGATTTGATCTTTGGAGTATGAATGTACTTTTAACTTGTAAGGTAAAAAATAAATAGTATATCTGAATACTATCTTACACTCCGATTAAGCAATACTTTTACAAATGATGACTTAAGATTGTCAAGCGATACGTAACATAAATTATTGTGTAAACAAAGGCAAAAAGGGTGGTCGAAGTCGCTGCTACAGCCATCGGGGTTGTTAATCCCGAACTCCGTGTGGTGTCATCCTCTGCTGGCCCCCAATCCCAGTTTCGTTATGTAGTTAGAGATGATCTTAATCCTTTGGCAAGCAGATCGTACATAGAAGTAGGAAACACAGCTCTATGTTTACTCATAACTTTTGTAATTATTCTTCACATTTGTAGTTTTAAACCATTAATTGTATGCCTTGTATTATTTTCTTCATAGAGTCGATATCCCAAAGATCCATTGAATTATCCCAACTTAGAAATTCATCGTTGAACAAGTACCAAGGAAAGTTAACACAACATAGCATCGTATAGCGGAGAGCGCCCCGTAAGACCGTGAAAACATGCCCATATCTGATTCGCACTGCCTTAGACCGCGCTGCCCAACCGTTTCAGAATTCCACAAGAATACTCAAAGTGATTCAAAGAACATTCACCATTATAGACATCAAGAGACAGTAGTAGTAAGTTTACGCGTAATTCGTATCACGTATAGAATTCATCCACATAGCTTCATCAAGTGCATTGGATCCACACTACTAGAGAGCCTTTTTACAACATTGTCATTTACGACGACACATTTTTTTTGTTTACACCGAGACACATCATCATTGCTTTATCTGTATACGCTTGTTTTTCATCATCATTATCATCATTAGATTCATCATCATCATCATCATCATTAGTATATGCTCACCTTGATTTGTTTTTTTTTTCTCATACTCGTACAGAAAGAGACAGAAATACCATTGGATCCCCATTGTTGTGCTGCCAACACAGTGATCCCATTTTACCATTCACAACGCTTGCTTTGGTCTTGGCGCCAGGTTTCAGGACGTCCTACACGGAGTTGACGCTGAGAAGCATCGGACCACCCCGTCAGTAACAACTCGAATTTTCCTTATATACTTACTAAGAAGAAGTTTCGCCACTTACGGAAAACGCAAAAACCAATGTTCGAGCACGGATTTCGCACATAACAAATTTATTCACCGACGTTCAGGTGATACCAATGGAAAGATCACGTTTCACTCTTAAATTTGATTGTTTTCGTTGTGTGGGACAACTTTTCAGACTTTTGCAAAAAAAATTTATAAAAGCAATTTCGCTAAAAAATCGCGGTCTGATGCTGCCTAGCGGTTGGAGGATTAAGTTTTGTGCACACAAAAGCAGCAGATGTCGGTAAGAGAAGCGCGCCAACAGTGCTTCAAGAGTAAAGCCTCAGGTGGCGTGGTATGTACGGATTTGCGAAAAACTCTCTTGCAGCGAAGAATGGAATTTTTATTAACATTATGCATAATTTATTGTCTATGTAAGATCTTTAAAAATCACGTTACATGAAACCAAATTATCCTACAAGACTTTAAAATTTCGATAAAATCGTAAAGTTGATAACAACTTCGTTTTGTAGTTAGGAAAGTTAGTTTTTTTTTTTTTTTTAATCTGTCAGGTAGTTTTTTTCGTCGATTATAACACTTACTTCTCATTATGTGCTCTTATAATTGTAATTTACGTGTTATAATTTGTATTTACAATTTTGTATGAATTAAAAATGACACTGAAAAAAATTGTGAAGTGATGCCTGAAGTAGCACATTTTTATTATGTTTAAATTGTTGTAAAAAAAATATCGTTTACGAATTATTAAAATATCATCAGCCTAAATCAGCACGGTTTTATTCACGTACAGTGTTTAATTATAATGGGATGAGCACAAAAACTGCCTAGATTTAGACACAAATTTAATATTGTATATACTAAAATATGCATAATCAAAATTTGTACAATTGCGTAAATAATTTTTTCGAAAAACTGCTTGAAACGTATATTCATCTAAATGATATGAATAAAATTTTTCATTCAAGATACATAAATTTATTGATTTACAGAAAATAAATGTCACAAAAAAAGTTTAATAATTAAATCCAATTGGTCTGCCCATTGTTGTACGTTCACTTGTCAATACAGTTAATATTACAGTCTGTAATAATTTCTAATTTAACTGCAAAATATATTGTTCAAATTATTTTGTTCAAAATATTTTTGATTACATCAGCATGGTTTTGTTTGTTCACAGATAACATTTTATTCAAATGGAATGCATACTATAACTGAGCTGATTTAGGCACAAATATTGTGCACTGAGAAAACATGGTTGTTACTCATGAATTTGTTAATAATATTTTGTGCGCCATCAGAATGTGCATAGGCCAGTAGGGCATATTTTTTATATTTTCACCGCGTTAAAGTACAGGAGAATCGCTCAAAAATTATGATTACCTTTTATAGAAAATTTTGCAAGAGAAAAAAAATTATCGATTTTAGACGATAAGAATAATTAAAAAAGAGTTTGTATATTCAACAAAGTTTATGTCCATCCAAAATAGCAATATGTATTGATTTCCAATTTAAAAATAATTATAATTACGGCGAATTTAAAATTTAGCCTTTCGTGGTATTTTAAAAACCGTCAGGCACTTTTCGCCAATCAGTCCACATTTAGTTGTGCTTGGTATCACACGTCATCGACTCTCCAAAGTCTCGACTCCTCATCAACGTACATCCGGAAAACCGGAAAATAAAGGTAATCAAATTATGCATGTAAAATAAAGCCACTGTAATTATTAAAATAAAGCGTTGATTGTTTTCAAATTTACACGATTCTTTTTTTAAATTTACAATTTCTTGTGATTGAAAATGCCGTTGTCCAATTCCGATTTAATCGTTCGTAATATTTTTAAAATGATTTAACAATCTCTTATACATAGCTAACATTTTCTAAAATAGACGTGTGACAGTATACGAACATTTCACCAATAGTCTAAAAATCTGGCTGATAACATTTTAAACATATCATTTTGACTTTGCTCGAGTGGTATATCCTCATAGTGTAACGTACATAGTCCATCCCGCGCAACCAAAACAATAACAAACATCAAATTCAAAGTTCAACAACAAAGTTCGCATTCGTTAGGAAATTCTCCGACTCAAAATCGAACTTTTCGGAAGTAGTGATAAAACTACGCGAATCAACAGTCTAATCACACAGTTTTTCAGAGTCCCGAGGGATCGACGCGAGAAAAGAAAAATGAATACGTGCCTAGACCTAGTGGTGGACGTACTCGCGGGAATCGATATAATGGAAACACCCGCAAGCGTCATGAATTCGGCGGACCCTGTCATCCCCGTGGACGAAGAGAAGAACTTCAAGGACTACTGGAAAGACCTCGAGATGAACAAATTCAGCTCCCTCTGGAACGAAGTCCCGGATAGCCCGTCTAGCGTCCCCAGCGACGAGGCTACTCTCAAAGATGCCAAAGTACCGGTGGTCACAACAAAGCAGGCTGAGCTGCTAAATTTGCCGCAAACGTGTTGGGACAGCATATCGATGGCCGAGAAATTGCGCGGGCCGCGGATGAAGTTGATCCGGGCAAGGAAGGAAGTCACGATCGGCGAGGTTCTGATGAAGTCGCGGTTTGGCGCGGCCGACGATGGCTGGAGGAGGGACAGGAGCGAGTCGCTGAGCAGCGGCTACGAGAGCGACTCACCCTCGCCGTCCGCGTCTCTGTTTAGTCTTATGAACTTGGAGGTCGAGCTGCCCGCCTTTCCGATAATGCCGCTATCGCAGCTGGACAACGTTGTGTATCAAGATAAAAAGCAGGACGCATCAAAATTAATGCCGATGTTTAAGGTGCACTATTATTTTTTTTTTTCCGTGTCTTCGTTCATTTGTTCATGCAGATCTATATTTTTTTTTTTTTTTTTGACAACTGAATGGCGAACTTTAACTTTTTTCTGTGATCAATAACAAATGTCTGTGGGTCGTTTAATGTAACTAAATGAGTACACATTTATAAACTGTAAGTATTTTAATATTTAGGAGAGAAGCAGGTACTCCGTCGTCAAGCCTGAAAATCGAGAAACTCTAAATTTGGATATGCACCTGAGCCCCTACCTGTCAATATGGGAGACGATTGCCGAGTCTAGAATCCCCGGGTACCCCAGTAAAACTAACATTGTAAGTCAACCTAATAATACTCTTGGGCACGACGGATACCTTTTTTTTACTTTTTTTTTAAATATAACTTTTTGCTTGAATCGTAACGTAATATTTATACTAAAAAAATTTTGTTTATGTACTATTTATAATATAGTTCTGAAGAAAAATCCTTTTTCAGTAAAAACTATGTATTAGAATTAAAAAGAAAAAACAATTTCGAAATAAATATCACAAAAAAAAGTATTTGAAAAACTGTTTAGACATCTAATTTCAAATACTTAACAATAAACTTTTATACATGAAATACATTTCAATGATCTTCTACGAAAAAAAACTTTGGCTCAACGTTATATGGCAATTAGTGATAAGTAAAAAATTTTCTCAGAAAGAAACCTTATGAAAGAAGAAATTTTTTTTTTTTATAATTATTAAAAGACTAAAATGATTGTATCCAAACTCAATAAATTAGAAATAAAAAAAAAATGATAATTTAATGAATGATGTTTCAGTTTATGGATGGATGCGATGCGTGTAGTTTTGGTGACGTTTATCTCACATTGTACTCCAAGCACAACAGAGCCGACAATGGATGTGGACAAATAGATTACAGCAAAATGAACTTGACGGAATGCAGTCAGGCAACGGAGGTGCCGAAAAATAAGGCAATCTGGTCGTATCCATAATTTTACTTGGTTTTTTATTTTTTTTTTGTTTCGCGGTTGACTTCTTGAGTTGTTGTCTCAGTTGGATACATGAGATAAGTATAGCATCGATCGAACTATTACAAGTTATATACTGGTTTCCAATAACTAATATTTCTATAAAATATTTTTTTACGGGCTTAACTTCGGTTTTGATAAAAAATGGGTGGTATTTTTTTTCAAAATTGGATGTGGGCTTTGCACTCAGTAGGAAAAGTTCGCATCTGATACTCATCCAACCAGGGCAAGTACAAGGAGTGCCTAGGGTATGCTCCGCAGATCTCTAGGGTACGGTGGTGTCCTGATAGACATGAGCCACCAGATATGAGATCTATTATTGATTAATGATAGACGAAAGACAGTTGTGTAATACTAGGTACTATATGTTGACTTACTGTGACGGTCTTGAAAAATAGAATACAAGATGTAATATTATAAAAATTAATAAAACGTATTTTGTAAGACAAAAAAAAATAATGAAAACGTTAGTGAACTTTTGTGAGCTAGTAAATAATTAAATCGGAATTTCTTCGATAAAAAAAGAAAAAAAATTTAGTTACAATTTTTACACATGCAAATATATATTTTTTAGAGGTCGTTCGGTATCAAGATACTTTTTTTTAATTTTAAATTAATTTT